CTGGTTTAATTTGGTTCCCAGGAATATGTACTGTCCTTTGTCTTTTTATTCTACCCATAGAACTTGTGTGAATGAGAGTGAGCACCTCTTTAAATGTTGTGCCCTCAGTGCTCTGGCTCTCAGGGAAACAAAGGGCAGGGTTAGTACTTGCCTAAAACTGAGAGTGAGTTTGTCTTTAAATTGTGTGCCCTTAACTGCCTTACTTGCTTCCTGTTAGGCACAGCCTTTTGGCTGAGAGGCAAAGAAGAGGACTTTCTTTCTCTAATACTGATTCAGTTGCACTAGTATAGTATCCATTTGAGTCACATATGGTCCTCACCAATACTTTTCAGAAGTCAGTGGAGCTATAAAGTACAAGCAAAGAACTGCTTAAGATGTGATAGAATGGGAAGAATTGATAGCTTCTTTCAGTGTTCTGGAAGGAACATCTGCCAAGTTTTCCTTTTGTCTCATGGCTACACCTTTGATATTTTATCAGAGAATTGACATTGAATCCTCAGATTTGATGGTGGTACTTAGTACCCTTCACTTAAATTGGCCCTGCTCAACCATTCGTTTTCTTATATATTTCAGATGTACTGAGTTTTATGGCAACAGTTAGTAGATGATAAAAAATAATTGAGAAACATTGATTTAAGTAAGAAATCAGGTTAATAACATTTAAATTTTTCTCTGAAATAGACTAATATAATCTGACCATATGTATAAATTTTATGTAAATATATGCAAATGTACATATGATAACTATTTTTACTCTAAGCATTTTATGTACTATTTGTGATTTCTTGGTTTAGAGCTATTTCACAGGAGAAAAAATAATTTTGTGTTTACAGGTCAACCTTTCAGATGTTTTAAAAGGCGATGTTTTCAGAAGGAAGGAAATACAAAATAGAATATGCAATTCAAGCTCTTTTTACTTTTACCTTTTCCACTTCCTTTTCTCTCTTTCCTCTATTCCTCCTTTCCTTATACTTCCTCTATCACATTTTAATATCTGACACTTAAGAGGAGGAGCTACTTTCTTAAATAGGGCAAAGGACCTTTTTTCTATTCTGTTGATTTTTATCTGTAGGTAGAAATAGAATTTAAGGATAACAAGTTTTAAAGTGGAACAAAATTTTCTGTTGAGTGAGTGGTTATGCATGTTCAGTTAATTCTTATTATCTATGGTAATTATGTTCTATAAAATTGCCATGAATGCTGAATTAGAAAATACTGAGCCATTGCTCCTGGGGGAAATATAGGGTTAGGTTCTTGTGAGCCTCTGGTCACATTTTCATCCTGTGATCAACACATAACTTTGTTTTATGTGCTTTTGTTTAAAGACATCTAGATAGATAAATGGATGGATGGATGGATGGATGGATGATCGATGATCCGTTAGGATTGAACACATGGCCAATGGCACTGTAACTCATGCTTTAACAAAGCTTAACTAACACACATATTTTTTTCCCTAAGGCACCTTAGCCTTCTTGTTAACACTAGATAGCACTTCAGCAATACACAGGGTAGGGGGTGCATTTTAAACAGCAAAAGCACTAATAAAAAGCATAAAAATATGAACATATGGCATTACATAGATTTGGAAAAGTGCATTATACAATATGAGAGCTGAAACAGGAAGGCAGAGTGTTGGGTATGGGTGAACAAGGAGACTCAAATTTTTTGTTGCTCTGCACATGTCCATGAATGACCAAGAACAAATGCATTTTAGTGAGTAGGTGAGTTCACAAATATGGATCTGGGATATTGAAGATCCACTATATCTATTCTAGCAAAGAGGGTATGCATGAGTCCTGTTTCGAGCACAATGCATGAACAGTTTAATATTAAGTTATTAGGCAACTAATTCCTGCAAGTAAATAAACCAGAGGAAAAGTAAATTGATAATGATGAAGATAAATTAACAGTAAGATAATTATGAAATGAGTAGCAGTAGTTGAATATTCTGAAAAGCTCAAAACATCACTGACAATATAGCATCCTTTCTGAAAATGGTATGATTTTCAGTTAATTCTATGCACATATGTGACAAAAGAGGTTGGCAAAAACATTGTGCTGTTTCATGGCAACCATGTTTCTTATAGAATGCTGAGTTAGAATCCATAAATAATAATTGCATCCTAACTTTTGTTTATAAATACCAAATTTATTTAGGTAATAGTACTAACCCTTAGTGGTGCAAAAGGTTTCTATGGACAATTTAATGGTACAGAAATTTCTATGGAAATTATGACCCATCTCTTTATGGCCACTCAGGAGAATGTTGGTGGGCTGAAGAAAACAGCTTGAGGATCACTGACTTAGACATTGCAAAGAGTGCTCACAAATGTCTGATGTCATATTTTATCAGTTTGGTCTTTTTGTTGGAAATCCTGAGCAGAATAAGTTAGGCAACAGTGGTATCAGCTGAAATTGCAGATGGAGAAAGACACCAAGGGTATAATGGAGCTCACAGCTGGTAGGGGACACAGGCAAAATTAAATAAATAAAAATAAAGAGTATTGTAGAAACTGATACATCATGTAGAGAAAAATATATAAAGGAATGGGAATAAAGACTATCAATAGAGAGGTTATAATTTTTTAAAAGGGTGGTCAGCTTTACTGAGAATGGTATTTTTACAAAGTCCAAGGGGAGATGCAGAATGAACCCAGTGGACACCCAGGGAAAGTAAATTCCAAACAGAAAACAGCAAGAGTAGAGACTCTTAGCTGAGAGTGGCTGATATGTTTGAGGAAATAAAAATGACTACTATGGCTGACTGGAGTAAGCAGCATGTGATAGCAGAGAAGAGAAGAGAGGGGAATCAGATTATCTGTCTGGCTCTATAATTCCTGTTAGGTTTCTTTGGTATAACAACAATGAACTACAGTTCAAATATTCTATGAGAAAATAAGTCCTAGGAAACCCATCTCTATGTCTGCTGTAGGGAGATTATCCTTAACATGCCAGGATACTTAGAACTTAATTTATTATCAGGTTTTGGTAGCATCTTTTGATTCCTTATTACTTAATCATTTTGGGGGCACATTTGGTATTCTAATGTTGCCCTTGCTGTTCGTTTATGCTATCTCATTATATCTAGTACCTTTATGAGCCACCATAAGTCTCTTCTAGAACAAGGTATTCAGTATATAGGTAGGTAGAGGAATAGATAATAAGGAAATTGAACTTGTGTTCTTTTATGATATTTGCAGCAACTGCAGTTTGATTAATGGCTTTTGGATTGATCTTTGGTTAACTAGAATTTGGTTAATTTATTACAACAATCCAATTGCAAAGCAACCCATTTAAACTATGATTTGACTGAATGTAATATGTTGTATGTAGTCTAATTTTTATGAAACTAATTATTAGAGAACCCTGAATACATTAAAAATAAGCATATGTGTCATATATATGTCATTTAAAAATACACATATTTGTATTGGACCAAAGGGACATGTATATAGTTCTCTATAGAAATATCATGAAAACAGGATCATCTCCTTAAAGTTTGCTGCCAGTCTGGTAGAGAAGATTATATACTGTCTTTAGTTCAATTTAGTTAAAATATGTTTGGTTAAAATGATAGCATGAAATTCATTGTCTCATTGTTGAGGCAAAATCTGGTCATTTAATAACCACATTCTCTAACTCAAAATACTTATTTGTAGAAAATTCAACAGTAAATTCTTAGCCAATATTTTAAGACAACTGTAGCCAATGTAGTAGATATTATATATAGGAGTAAATATAAAACCCTTGGGGTGGGGAACAAATGACAAAATTTAATGAGAAATTATCTAATGGTGTTTAGGGAACTTAGTTTATATCATTTTCCTAGTGGCATTAATTTTAGAGTTCATCGTATACATCATGGATGGAGTACTTACTAATTTTATTCTGATGTTGATACTATCTAAGAAAACATGAAAATTATGATGGTGAAGTACTGTGATTTAGAAGGAGATTTATTTCTGGGGTGCATGGGTGGCTCAGTAGTGTAAGCGTCTGACTCTTTTTTTTTTTTTGAGATTTTATTTATTTATTTGAGAGAGAATGAGAGAGAGAGAGCAGGAGAGGGGGGAGGGTCAGAGGGAGAAGCAGACTCCCTGCCGAGCAGGGAGCCCAATGCGGGACTCGATCCTGGGACTCCAGGATCATGACCTGAACCGAAGGCAGTCGCTTAACCAACTGAGCCACCCAGGCGCCCCATCGCGTCTGACTCTTGATATCATCTCAGGTCATGATCTCAGACTCATGAGATGGAGCCCTGCTTTGGGCTCCGCCCTGGGCATGGAGCCAGCTTAAGATTCTCTCTCTCCCTCTCCCTCTGCTCCTCCCCACCCAGCTCGCATGCTCTCTCTCTAAAAAATTTTAAAAATAGGAGATTTATTTCCTACACAAGGAACAAAGAACAAAGATTACAACAGAATTAACTTTTAAATATGCAAAATAAAATTTGTAATCATAAAGAGAGCAACAAAAATTTTAAATACCATATTATAGTAAGATACTGAACATTCACTTTAAAATGTGCTATAAATAATTGTAGTGTTCATTGCAACTACATGTTTCTCCTCCACTGGCATGCAAAATCTTTGGTTCCCTAGGTCCAGAGATGTGACCTAGCATAAAGTAAATGGTGGTCGTTAATCTGAGTTAAAGCTGCCCCTTAATATGGTATAACATGAATAGGTAATGATGAAATTTTCACTGTAGCATTTAACACATATTCAGGCTTGTGTTTCTACAGTGAATGTACCTGATTATATAATGGAGATTGATGAGGAAATAATTTTCAAGCTAAACATTTTGATATGACCTATGACATTTCAGGAGCATACTTAACATTGGAAAAAAAGTGAAATCCAGGAGAAAGATATGAGTTTTGTGGGTTCTAAAGCTTCATAAGGAAAAATATATATTATATAAAAAATTGTTTTTGGATATTTTACAAAATTATGATTACATTGCCGGTCCAACTTCCCCCCAGGGTCTGCATCTTGGCAATGGCTTGTACAGGTACAGAGCCCTAAATCTTAAGGTGCATTAGCTTCAGAATAAATCCACCTTTTCATAGCAAACCATAAATCTCTACTGAAAATGTTTAATTGATTATATTAATATATGTCTGTGAAGGGACTGGTTTCTTGTTCAAAACAATGTTGTAAAAGGATAACTTTAAGGGTCAGTACATCTCTGGGTCAGATAATTTCCTTGGTTTCCTGCCCCTCAATGAAAACCTATTATTTCTGACACTAGCCTGTCATACTTTGTTTTTGCTAAAACAATTTAAGGGTCATTATCATAAGCAACATTTCTTTGATAATGCAGGTCAAGAGTCATGCATAAAATACTTAGAAAATTTTTATCAAAACTTAATTTTAGAGATTTGATATGTATACATATGCATGTATATGTAGAAAGAAAGAAATTTTCTGGCAAAACGTTTTGTTTAATTAATGTTTTGAATTAATTAAATTGTGCCACGTATATTTAGGTGCCTATGGGTCTAAGAAGGATTACTCAAACTTGGATTTGGAGCAGCATTATCAACTGTTCTGCATTTCTGTGGCTGCCGGGGCTTTTACCATGGTGACAGCTGCTGGGGCTGATGGTAGAGGTGGTTTTGGTGTCAGTTCAATGTACTTTAATAAGAATTTACAGAGTCTTTGCCATTCCTTCTACAAGGTATATAGGAGTATATACAGGAGTATGCTTAAAAGCATGAAGATGGAGAGTAGTTTTCAAATATCAGCAACACATTTTAAGAAATTCATAGTCTAAATTTCAGGAGATTTGGGCTAGGTGATCAGGATATAGACAGAAGAACAAAATTAGAGGTGCTTTAGTTTTGGAATCTGTGCCGTGAAAGACTGATATGCTGTTCAGATATATAAAGGCAGGAACAACAGTGTAATAAGGCAGAATTATAATTACCTGTTTATTGGACTGGCTCTTCTCTTGCATGAACTCTTTGAGGAAGGATCTGTGTCTTTCATTTTTTACATTCTCAGCACTGAGCAGATGGTCTGATGTAAGTATTTTTAAAATACATTACACAGATGAATATAGCTAAGAAACTACAGTTTCTAAGTAGACTGAGACTAATAGGACTGTGCACTCAGGAGATATGTAGGTAATGTATTTCCTAAATAAGTTGGTGAAATTCAAGGCAAAAGAAGTAAGCAGTTAGTGTGAAGAATGGAGAAGAGTAAATCACATTTGCTTTTTAGCAGGATACATCTTGGCAGGACAAAAATACTGAAATCAAGCAAGAAGAAAGGCAGATATTAGCTGTAAGGATTTTTTTTTTCAATATTTTGCTGAACTCTGTCCTTTTGAACACACTGAAAATAAGCTTGTATAATCAGGAATTGATCCAGATTCATTAAGTGGACAGTGCATTAAAGTTGAACCATCTGGGCAGTGGCTGGTTAGGTGCAGAGGCTCAGCTCAAACAGGCACCCAGAATAATAGGTGGCTATTTCAATAAACATTTATTAAGTACTAATGCACACAGTTTCTACCCCTCAAAAATCCTTGAACAGAGTGGAAGTTTTTATTACTTACAGCTATTACTACCATGTGCCAAAGTCTACATTATTGGCTCAAACCATTAAAGAGGTTTAAAGACCAAAAAACATAAAAACAGGAAAGTACTTGGGATCATCATCACTTAATAGTTGGCTTTTGGGTGCTTTATGGAATCTATTCATCCTATAGAACACATATAGTATCTGAAATTAAAGGTGGCACAGGAGGGGAGAGAAAAAGAAAGAGGGAGGGAAGGAAGAATGACAGAGGAAACCCCTATCTGCCACATTATATGTAAAGTCTCTCTGTGTAGCTGTAAGCCAACTGGTGTGGTATGAGCAGGTGTATGTATAAATGCTCTAGCTCAGAACGCATAGGGGCCATATGCCGTCTGCTCAACTAATACAAAAGCTCGGGTTTCTGGGGGCTCACAGCCTCCTGAAGTCACCACCTCACTGACCAGCTAGACTTTTCACATCATGCTGCTTGCCAGACACATGTTTAATCTGGAGACTAGCATAGTGAAAGCTATTTTTGTGTGTCCTGAAATGGGAAGAAAGAGAAGCAGAGTAGGACCTGCTTTCACTAAGATGCAAGTCTTAGTGAGTCTAAGATGGTAGGTGGTGAGAGTCAGTCTTCAAAAAGAATCTACTCAGGACAGTTTCACCTTATCCAAGTTTAGATTTTGCCTATAGCTAAGAGAGTTTGCCTGTTGAGAACCAAACTTATGGATAAGGAAATACAAAAAAAAAAAAAAGAAGAAAAGAAAGAAATCCATGGTCTATAATGGTCCTGTAAGAAATCATGTCGTCATGAGATTGTTCAGGGTATGCATTAATTTGCTCTTTGATCAAACATTTGTACATGGGCTGTACACTCATGTAGCTATATACTGGGGATATAAATATACAAAGAAAGATTCTTGTCCTTTCTGCAGGTCACAATAAGATGAGGAAACTTACACATAACCTCAGTGTTGTCTGATAGTGGATTTTATAAATGTGCAATGAAAGATTAAGGGCAAGAACACAAAAACCAGCCTGGGGGGATCAGGCAAAATCTTTAAAGAGAAGATAATATTTCAGCTGAGCCTTAAAGGATGAGAAAGTGGTCCCTAAATAAATGGGATAAGGGAAAAAGATGTTCCTGTTCCAAAGGAGTAGTTTGTGCAAGGCATGACTTTGTGAGATAATATAATTTCTTTAGGGGTCTATAAGTGATTCAGATGCCAAAGAGGACAAAAGAAGTGTGGCATTCATGAATCAAGAGCCACACCATGAAATGTTAACGTACTTGCTAAGGAATTTATTTGTTTTCTTTTTGTTCTTACTTGTTTGTCTTTTGGTACATTTGAAGGTTGGTTTTGAGCCAATTGGAATTTCAGAAAGTCCAACTCTGCCAGTGTTAAAGGCTTTTAAATTGAAGGAGGCAAGATAGGAGGCAGAAGACTGAAGCCTTCAATTTAGTAATGATTAAATATTCCTGGCAAGAGATGGTGAGGACTGAAATATGGTAGAATGAGGATAAAGTGAATAACAGTTATTTGGAAAGTGGAATAGGTATGATGTTGATTATAATTGTGGAGCTGAGAACGTCTGGAGGGATACAGAAGGGGAGAAGAGAGGTTGCCTGTCTTATCACAGTTGTACCTACAGCCATCAACAAAGGTACCTTGCACATAGTAAGTGTTATGCAGTGGATGGTAAATCCGTGTTTCTGGCTCAAAACAGGCTGTACCGGATTAAGTTGCAGTTTGACATTGTTGAATTTGAAGTTGCCTGAGGGATAGCCACATGGAGATGTTCATTAATGAAACCTTCAAATCCCTAAATGTAGAAGGTAGGCGAGAAAAACAACTTCTTGAACCTGGTTGATGGTGAAGCATTCAAGATTGATAACTTAGTGAAGAAGAACGGACTTTTAAGCTTGGTCATAAAAGGGCCCTCTGGGAGTGAAGGGTAAAGGCAAGTATTCTACAATAGGCTGATATTTTCATTCTCTTTCCCTGTTCATCCAAGTAGTCAGAAATACTTTTCTTTTTTCTAAATACTGCATTAAATGATCTTAGTATGATTTGTAGAAAAGCCACCGGTATGGACTATTTATGAAAGGTGATTGATTAGTTCAAAACATATCCACTAAATTATGAAGTACATACTACAGTGAGTCACTGTGTGTAATATAGTACATTATTTAGACACCTTGAACCGATAAATCAATTTACAAAAGTGCATTCAGAACTATGAAAAAGTTTAAAATTTCATTAAGGTTCTTGCTTTTGAGGCAGCGATCCCTATAAATTTGCAAAAGGCTTCAAGAAGGATCTAATCTGAAAACTAGGAATAAAACATTTTAGTCTACCCAGATCTTTAGTCCTTATCTCCATTTAAAACATAAAGTATCTATGAGTTTATGTATGAGGTAATATGTATATATATATACACATATGGATATTTGCATGTGGATATTTCAGTATTTCACATCTAATCAGCTTTTTGTACTCATATACATCCATATATATATACATATGACATATATGACATACATATGAGATTATATATGTCTCATATATGAGACATATATATATACATATGTATGTCATATATGTCACATATATATATATATGTTTATATATATATAAACACACACACACAAATTGGAAAAACATTTTGGTCCTGAGACGCTGTCCTTTCTACGTGGAGTTCTTAAATAGCATTAACATAACAAAAACTGCTATTTATTTACTATTTTGTAGTTTATAAGCCATATTTTTTAACACATTATCTCACTTGAGTCCTACAAAAACTCTTTGAGGTTGGGGGAAAACATTATCACTAGTTAACTTCCTTATATGAGAAAATTAAAGCTGAAAGTTACATACATAGTTATTAAGCGATGGAGTAAAGCCTTGGCCCCAGGCATTCTGATCACAGACTATGTTCTCCTTTTCACCGTTGGTCACTGTTTAGACTGATGCCAGACGTTCCACTAGAATTCTTAGGGGCCATGTTAAATGATACAATATATAATAATAATTTAATGTTCGCTCTGGGAGTCTATCCAGTAAATCCTCTCACTAGTTCTATAATCTGTTTAGAATATGACAGAATTATTGGGAAAACAAATACAAGTTGACTAGTCTGGATTCCTTCTGCCCCAATAGTTGAATGAATTCTCTAATCTTCCTTTTCTTCATCTGTTCCTCTTTGGCCTTTATTTTAAATTGATATCTCTGGCTTTTAATTAAATGACATTTGACTAACTGGTTAGCATGCTAATTTGTTTATATGGTACTTGGCTATTGAAGTTTGAAAATGACATTAACTATTTATTTTATGGTGGTATGTTACATATTTTTCTGAAGTGCCCCTAAGGCTGATATTCTGTGCACTAAAAAATGGCTCTTAGATGGGCGCCTGGGTGGCTCAGATGGTTAAGCGTCTGCCTTCGGCTCAGGTCATGATCCCAGCGTCCTGGGATCGAGTCCCGCATCGGGCTCCCTGCTCCTTGGGAGCCTGCTTCTCCTCTGCCTCTCTCTCTCTCTCTCTCTGTCTCTCATGAATAAATAAATAAAATCTTTAAAAAAAAATGGCTCTTAGAAATTCTAGCCGTGCTCTATGGAGCCCCAGCATGGCTGCTGTGGCCAGTGTTTTCTGAAGAGTGGTGAAGTGTATGGAAGACCCCATAGAAAATTTGGAAGAGAGACAAAAAGACAAAAGAGGGTTTTCTGGGTTTTGTACTCCCAAGGACTGAATCAATGTGCCATCTAAGGCTCAAATGGAGGTCAGTGTCTGTTGAGTACAAGTGAAGAATCAAATGCCCAAACCTTGAAAGAGCTCCATTGTCATGCCCTTGGCAGAAGCTTGTAGGTGAAGCAGCATGCAGTATTCCACTCTAGGGCTGTGTGTTAGCCATTTTACGTTTCAATTTTCTTACCTTATATTAAAAAAAAAAAAAGTGCAGATTGGAGAATATGTGTATCTTCTTCCTAAGGTAAATAGCATATGAATAATATCGTATTTTAGAATAACATATTTTTTAGCTTTTTTTTTCTTTTCATGTGGAAGCGGAGTTGCATCATGATGTAGCTTTGGGCCCTCTAGAGCAGCAAACAAGAGAAGGGCTCTCTCTTCATTGTGTCCATTGCCACTCAG